TTCTGCTGGTCGACAGTCTGTCCCCGAGGATACTTGTCGTTCGGTACTCATTTATTGATGATTATGCATAACAACGAAACGATACTGGCTGATGTGTCACTCAGTATAAAAAGGCGTCATTCATTTGAATCTATAAGGGAAAAAAGACTCAAGGAGTTAATTCAGTCCCCCTCGGATAAGCAGTAGCTTAGTAAAATAAAAATCAACTTCTGGTAATGGAATAAAAATCATTAGACCGTTAAATAACTGATTTGGCAAAGTAAAAGATGTCCTAAAGTTTTTGGTACATAGTTATATCCCGTACATAATTTTCACCCCTTAAATTAGGGTGTTGCGTTTCTATTGACGGTGAGTATATTATATGTTAATATATTTTTATAGAGACTTTCTACAACGCCATTGAATATGTTGATGTAAAATAGGCGTTTGATTAAATAAACCAGATTCAGTTTCAGTTTATAAGATGTGCTCGGTGCTGTCAACATTCCTCTCAGGTGTTTTCGTTGTGGTCCTTTGAAATTGATTGAAAAGTTAATAAAGCAATGATGATGTATTGTGTTATATGAACATTTGGAGGCTAATGTATAAAAGCTTGAATTAATCAGTATATTTTTTTAATATAATTTCTGAGAATCATAATAACGTCATCAGATAATTGTTTCTTTGAGATTTTCTTTCGAAAGAGCTGATTTTTTTTTTAAATTTCATTCAAGAAAATATATACCAGTATTATAAATCCTCATTTCAAAGATAACAAATGAAAAAAAATCACAACATAATAGGCAGTAGCTTAGTAAAATAAAAAGCACACGTTTATTGTATATTTTAAAATGCAATTTCAAAATATACACTTATGAAAATTCATATTAAATTCAATAAAATCGATACTTAAACAACTGTAGAATATAGAGTACGTAACAGTTAGCCAATCGCTTTTCAGGCATTGATTAAGGTACGACAGATATATTTGGCTGTAGAAGGACCATTCGGCAGAATATCACAGATTCACAAGAACACAGCAGTCTTTTCTCTTAAGAAAGAAAAAAATGGGCAGTCAGGCGGTTATCACTTTAATTGTAGGCTTCTTAGCTTTATCTAAAGCTACCATTTTTTTCTCAGAAATATTCCGCGAAAATGGAATTTAATGATAAGAAATCAAATTATGAACTTTTAGGGGAATACAATGTTCATTCGTTGACCGAGTGCGCTGCGTTGTGTCAAAGTGAGTGCGGCTTCTTTGGTTTCAGCTATCAAATGAAGAAATTCCGCACCCACAAGAAAAGTCTTACGATTGAGCTGTCTGATGAGGCCGGTTGGAGATACTACTCTGATGACGGTATGTATATTTGTAATCTTTTTAATCTTTCTGTTTGCTTCTTCGTTTTTTTTAGATCCCTGTCGAAGAGACCCGATTATTTTTCTTTGAAACTTCTTTTTATCTAGTATAAACAATTGTATTTTCAAAATAATTTATTCTTATGACATTCTCATCTCTTTGCTGATTTTTTTTTCTTTATATATATCTTCAGTCAACAGAGTATTGAAAATGATTGTGTTTAATTATAAATACTTTTAGTCATGTCATAAATCGAAGATCTTTATTAATTAAAAAACAAGAATGATTTTAGATAACAAGGAAAAGTTTAACATAATACGCATTATACGCATCATACATGTAATTAACATATAAGCCTCAACAATTAACATATATAATATATATATAATATATATATATATATATATATATATACCATGCAGGCATTATATATTCTCTTACTTTTTGTACCTATACATTGTATGATTCTGGTATTTTTGTTTTAAGTTTTTACTAGCACGCCCAAAGATTGCAAGGATCTTCGAGAAAAAGGACAAACGATCACAGGAGTGTATGATATATACCCCTACCGTACACTAACAGTACCGGTCCGTGTTTTCTGCGATATGACCACAATGGGCGGGGGGTGGACGGTAGGTTGTTTTAATTAGAATTAAAATTACTTAATATAATACGCATTCTTTGGTGGTTTTAAGGATTGTAGGATTGTATTGTAGTTTACATCATAACCTATGGATACTATGAATGTTCAAAGCAATAAATTGAATTGTAATGCATATTAATTTTCAAAGGCCATTCAGAAACGCGTAGACGGATCAATGAGTTTTGACAGGAACTGGCTGGATTATAAGAATGGTTTCGGTTTACCAGAACAGAATGTCTGGATTGGTAAGTGTAAATCGCTTACAAATAAGAACTTTTTATTCCTTCAAAGTTTGAAGATAAAAACGTTCTTTTGGTAGGTAAAAAATAATCAAGCGTAATAAAGATCTTAATTTTAAATTAAATCATCTAGCGGCATATTCTAATGAGACCAAATGTAGCAATATTGCCTACAGCTATTGAAAATAATTTGATTTTTCATAACGGTAGATTTATAATTTTAAAAGAATTTATTGTATTCGATGAATTTTTCAGATAATTTCAAATATATCTTAATACAGGAAATGACGTAATTCATAAATTAACAAAAGAAAACTCGTTATACCTTTATGTGTCCATCACTCTCCAGAACGGTACAAAACTGTATGAAATGTACGACCGATTCTCTGTCTCCGACGAAGCAGGAAAATATCAACTCTTTCTTGCAGGACCTGCCACGGGGACCTTAGGTAAATGTATTTATGTTACATGTAAGTTCTTAAAATTAGGTTCAAATTACGTATATTACTTATTACGTATATCTTATTAATTATTCTTTTCTGTATTGGCACATAATAATGTTCCTGAAAAAAGAGAGATATGTGTTTTTTCTGAAATTCTGCATACGTTTTTGATTCCATGCTAATTAAACATGTTTAATATTTCAAAATATCATTTGCAGGTACAATTCACAAATTCAGAAGACACTGGATTTGGTTATTGTTAAGTGGATAAAATTTCTAATTATACATCTTATGTACAAGGGAAATAATGTTAAATTTTTTTATACCAAACAAATCCAATAATTACAATTGTTCAACATTGTCTTTCGGCTTGGGTTTCCAGACAATTTTTGATAATTCATATTTTAACTAATACGGAATAATTTTATAGAGCATGATAGTCTGATTTTCAATGATTCACATTTTTTACTACTACGGAATAGGAAGTTATCAGTGCCTCGTGAATCTTAAATGTGTACAGGTTTACGAAAATTTGATGATAAAAAAATTGATCGGATAAATATTCATATAAAAAAGCGTAAAAGCCAAATTTTAAAGACCTAAACCCGTTTCACATTTCCATTCATTTAATAGGAATTCTGCCATCTTATCTCTTTATTAATGATTTACTTAGTATTCTACGGTCTCAGACAAATATTAAAATTTTATTTTGTTTTGTTTTCTAAAATTTCCCGTGACCTTTATCCCTCCCCCAATATTACCATGCTTTAAATGTGTAACACACCATTGGTTTATTGTTACACAAGAAAGGATGCTATGTGAATTGCGCAGTGTTTTGTTGACTTGTATTTTTTTCCTCTCTTTAAACTGTGTATCTCAGACGTACTTCAGTATGAAAATTAATGATTAATACTTATAATCATGATAATCTTTGTTCTATATTTTCTCTAATTCTTCAGGTGCCAGTATGATAGACACCGGGGATTCTGGGAATGAACTAATTATTTATCATTTCTCTTTCCCGCACCCTTAGCCGTCTTTCCTAGAAGTACCTCAGTAGTATTGTTGACAATTAAATTGAAAATTTATCTGTGATTCCTTTTTGTTTAATTTTACAGGGGACTCTATGATACACACTGGTTATTCTGCCGGTGATCTGTCTGGGATGTACTTTAGTACCCCGGACAGAGACAATGACGGGTGGAGTGATCACTGTGCTGCTCACAGTACCCGTAAAGGGGGCTGGTGGTTTAACTCCTGTGCCTTCGTTTTTCTTAACGGTCAATGGTCCCCAGGAGACTGGTTCAGACCATGGTATCCCACAGTGACTGATAATAGACAGATAAAGGAGACTCTCATGATGATCAGGCGTCGCTAGGTAAACAGCATTTAATCATAATATAACAGAGTTTTTTTATTTTTGTATTTTTTTGTATTACTGTAAAAATTTCAGTTATAAAAGTTGATTTTTAATAGAAAAAATATGCTATCATACATTTATCTGTGAAGTATTAATATAATTTTTTTTTTAACAGGCGAAAGATAATCCATGGATTATGGAAACCCACAAGAGACGATTTTTTAAATTAATTTTTATCGCTGAGTTCTTTTTTTTAAATATTTAACATCAAGTAACAAACAGTAAAACAAGGGGGTTGAACTGCTCTGTAAAGCGATACTGAATGTATTTAGTAAAAGATGTACTTTATATGTTTTGTAATAAATTTGAAAATAGAAATATTTCGGTTTTTTTTTCTTTCAAAACACTGATAAATGGAGATAACTGGACGGAGAATTAGGATGAACATTACTTTATTGTTAAACCTGTTACAGTGGAACCTGTTTAATCCGACACATGCAATACTCTTTACTGTGATTTCAGCCATTTAATTTCATTTGTCATTTATACTTATCTCAATGATCTTTACACGCTGCAATACTACATCTTGTTTATTCCAACACATATATTTTTAATCTGTTCCCCGTGCATGTCTGATGAGACAAGTTTCATTGTAATAAAGATGTTAAGATATTTTTTTTTTAAATCATAGGTATATTTGATTGTCATGTTTTGTGGTACAATACATCTATGATTATACTTCTCTAATAACATATCCCCATTTTTTTTCATCCATGCAGTATTTTTAATTGATGAGCATTTAATTATCCATTAATCTACTTGAAACCGCTTAAATTGAAATTATTGTTATTTTTAATATCATGGAGAAAATAAGCTAAAATGTTGAAGAGATGTGTACTGAATATTTCTTTCCACAAGTTTAATTTTACTATAAATATATTTAGATATCTTGATTTTAGGTGTGGCAAGAAAGGCAAAGATACTAGATTCTCAATGATACCAGAAAAAAAGTTTTAAAAAAAATCCCATTTTCTGACAATCAATATCTTCTATTGCTACAGATAATCATTAAAAAATAGATTTTCTGCTCTTGAATGCACAATATACGTTATAGTAAACTTATATCGATCCTGTAATTTTTTATTGTGTTTTTTTTTTATTTCAAAACACCATAAAACAGATCGGGGATTAAAAGGTTACATGTGTAATATGCGTTTTATTTGGACGTCACAAACGTTAAAAGCAAAACTTGAAATCATTTTAATTTATTATTTAGGTTAGAGATAATTCAAGTAAGTTAAAAAAAGAAATCAAATTGCAAAACAAGACAAGGAGTTAGAAAAAAAATCAGCACTAATTTACTATTTTTTGAAAGATGTTGTCTTATACTTGCAACTGCCTTTGCAAATAAAACTTTGCAAGCTAACAGTAATCAATATGTTTGCAAATACTTTTGCAATTATGAGACTACATCTTTTGAAAAAAAAAATGATTCAGTATATGTGACAAGTCATTCTCTATTATGCAATGTGCAAACTATGGTTTATATATTAGTATATCCGAAAATTTGATAGACGACAACTTGAAATTTGTTATTAAATCAATAGGAAGTTTTAGGAGCTAATGATAAAAATTCAAGATAAGTTTGTGAAACAAACAGGCTTATGATTAATGTCGTTTGCAGGTCAAACACCAAGGTCAATATAAACTAGTTTTGGTACCAAAAGAAAAGTGCCTCACAATGAGTCTACCTTCAAAAAAAATAAACACCATAAAAGCAGCAACAGTTCAGTAATTATGACCAAAATTAGAGATTTTCAAAAGTAGGTCAAACTGGACAAGGTCGAGGAGTCAATACTGATGATACACAAAAGAATTTCAGAAAGAATACACAGGTGAAATATAAATGTCACGGAATCAACCATTCAAAAGTTATCACCAAAGTTTTTCAAAAAAGGTCAAAGTCTGATGTCAAACTAAAAGGATGAAAAAGAAAAAAAAATATTGGTATTCCAGAGAAGCTCTTACCACAAGAAATGAACCCGTAAAATAGTTAACCCCTAGCACTAAATTGTAGTAAATACGTCGTCCAAAGTTAACGTTTTTGAAAAGTAGGTCAAATCCATACTTTCAAGTTAAAGGTCATTACTGCTTGTAATCAAGAGAAGGTCTTATCAAAATATAAGCGTGAGGAGTATGATATCACTTGATTTTTACCGTGTAGTAGCTACGCTAACATTAAAACTTTGAAAATTTCTTTAAACGTGAGTCAAACATTAAGTTCAGAGTCAAAAATACTTTTACCCAAGGAAAAGATTTATCACGTGGAATACACCAGTGAATAGTTCATATGTTCATATGTCCAAGGCTCAAATTCCAAATTCCAAAATGACTGTCAAAATAAAAAAAAAAACCTGTGAAATATGAAATCCATAGCTCAAACCAATTAAAGGCTGAAGTCAGGGCTCATTGATTTCCCCACTTACAGATAAATCAGGGAAGAAAAATCACAAACAAACAGACAACTGAGCCGACCTTCACAGCAAAATATGTTTGCCCCTTATTTTTTGGATTACGGATAGAAATTTTTAAAAAAACAACACATTGTGCTAAAATGCTTGAATGTATGATGAGAGGAGATCCCAGTAAGTTTCCTTGGGAAAATAACGAAGCAATATAATGCACAGTTTGTCTTTGTGTATATGCTATTCATAGCTTATTTAAACATGATGATAAATCCAGGTCTCTTCCGAGGAGACGAATATACGATCCGAGGATATATCTAGATGTCTTCCGAGGAGACGAATATACGATCCGAGGATATATCTAGATGTCTTCCGAGGAGACGAATATACGATCCGAGAATAAATCTAGATGTCTTCCGAGGAGAAAAATATACGATACCAGGATAAATCTAGATCTTTTCCGAGGAGACGAATACACGATCCAAGGATAAATCTAGATCTCTTCCGAGGAGACGCATATATGATTCAAGGATAAATCCAGATGTCTTCCGAGCGACGAATACACAATCCGACGTAAACTTAAGAGGACTCCATTTAATGATTTAGAACTTTTAATACCATGCTTAACGAAATTATATATTAAAAGAGATAATGGTTCCAAATGTTTATTTTAATTAAAAGAAAACGAAACATTATGTAACAGAACAATCTTCTGGCTCCAAATAAAATGGAGAATCCTCACAAATAAAGGGAAGTTTCAGTCCGTCTTCTCCTGTATAGTACGTGTAGTTTCTCTCCGTCACCCAGCGCCACCTACCGTCGTTATGATAAGTCAAAAGGAGGCCAAAGATTGGGTCAACTGCTGTCTCGCCCTCATCGTTAGGATTCCAGTTCTGATACGTCAGAGGTGTCCAATCATCAAAAATGAGTCCCTCATTGTCGTCAAATGTCAAAACATTGGCATGAAATGCAAATGAACCGTTGACATCAACTTCTACAGCAAAGGACAAGAAAAAATTATATTATACTCAAAAACCTTTATTTTATTTTTATGAATAAGGATTAATACTATCTTTTCTAGAATGTTTTAAACACCGCCTATACGACATGACTTGATGCTTAAAATCCTGTTGCTCTAAAAATTGATAAAATTTGATCTGTTGTATCCAAATTCAAAAGACATTGAAAGGAAGCGTATCCTTTTTTGCGTGGTAGCATATGTAACAATAGAAAATTTTCTAACGAGCATAAGCTAACCTAGGCAAAACTACAATTCAATTTAAAGAACAAAGGTAAATAAGTGCCTT